TGTAAAGCTTTAAATTCAGTTGCGTAAAACACACTTGCTTATGATAATTCAACATACTTTCCTCAAAATTTGGGATATGTTAAAATATGCATTCAGAAATACAATAAATTATACAATACCTATCCATAAGCTAGTAATTAACATTAATATGACAACAGGTAAAAGGAAATATACTGGGGGTTTTATCATTCCCCTTTTACTCTTTCAATAGAAAAAAAATTCCTCAGTTCTTACACAAATAAAAGTAATTATAGAATAAAAGTAATTATTAAATAAAAGTAAAGTTCTTACACAAATAAAAGTAAGTAAAATTAAAAGACACACCTTAACTGAAATTCTAATATTTATAACATTCAAAACGTCTTAGAAATGATATGTCAGAATGCCAAACATTAAAACCTTCAAGTTACAGTAATTCTACTCCTTTACACAATCCAATATATAAGTTTAATTTAAGCACAACACATTAACATTTCAGATATTAAAAAAAATCTATTAACACAGGTTTAAATTCTAAATTTTATACTTTCTTATTGTAACATAAAACCCAAAAAGCACATTTCGTTAAGCTTTACAGGAACAAGTTGACTTAAAACAGTTATGTGAACTTACATACAGATTTACAGAAATAAATTAAATTACTTTACTGCCTCAATATAAAAATCCAAGGTACTTACCCGTCTGGATTGGAGAGTTGAAATGGCTGCGATGCAACTTTGTTCTCACAATTTAAGATTTTATGGACACAGATGATCCAGGCACCTATAACGCACACACACAAGATCTGTTGATCTAAATTTTCTTGATCACAAGGGTGATCACCCACATATCACTTTTTCAATACTCTACACATCACAATGATCTGATGATCTTCGGACAATGATTGTCCCACACGCTCACTGTGGTAAATTTTCTCGAACACAAAAGATGATCGCACAAGTAGCACCTTTATCACCGCGCATAAAGATGAGCTTATTTCAGGAGACTGTCGTTCCTCTTTTTCTGGACTGATGTCCGTAACTTCTTCGTGGATTTTATTCCCCACTTCGAAGAGCTGTAAATCACTTTTCGAACGGATGTTCGTAAATTCGGGCTGCACTTCAGAGCCTGGCGGTCTGTACTATCTGCAAACACTGATGATGTTCGGACAATGGCTGTCCTACAAACTGGAGATGAATTTCAGACTCGGACGGTCTGCAATCTCTGCATGGATTTTCTTATCTCACCGCTTCGGAGAGCTGGTAATCACTTTTTCAAACTGATGTTTGTAACTTTTCGTGTTGCACTTCAGAACCTGACGGTCTGTAATATCTGCAAAACACTGTTGATATCCAGACAATGACTGTCCCACAATCTTGAGATGAATTTTTAGAGCCTGACGGTCTGTAATTTCTGCATGGATTTTCTCATCTGAACCGCTGCCACCATTTATTATAGCTGTAACGTCAGTACACCTGTGTCGGGTGAAAGAAAGACAGGTTATCTTATAAATTATTTATTTGATAAACTAAAATAGATTTCTTAATTAAAACATAAAAATAAACTGATCATTACAGCTCTAAATCATACAATATCCGCTAACGCAGATTGGATGCAAAAAAAAGCGTCCTTTTTACTATAGTTACAGCATAGAAAAAACTATTGTTCTACAAAAACCACTGGCGTGGTTTAGAATGTAAAAGATGCGTCCTGTCACCTCAAAAGCACATGCAGAACTCTTACACAAAGATTTCACTCGTTTTGTTATCTGCGAAGAGAAACATAATTAGTTCCTTGTGTCTGGAAACTCCCATGGGGTTTTATCTGCAGTCCTGCTTTTTGCAGGTATCGTCCATTTCGTCCACGAACAAACAGGAAGTTATAATTCAGCACCTGTGCCCGCGGGGGTGCTAGTAGCTGTATCGTCACACTGAACAAGAAATATATGTTTACAGAATTAAAGAGAAAGTATTATCACATAAAACGAAGCAACTTAAACAACTTACATTAAAAGAAATTTTTAATAAAGTAAACAAATAAATATTAAGCTTTTTTTTTTGTAAATTTTGATACCCTTTAGATCATAATTGTTCTTTATTTCATAAATTACGGTTTCATATCTTTAATGTTAGAATTTCTGCATGCCATCTTACGAGATTTAAACTGATGATCTATAATCCGGAATCGCCGAAGTCCCGACGAGTCCGGATTAACGACTTTTGACTGTATATATTTATGTATATCAATGTTTTCGGCTTTAACACTTGTTAAATCCAAATATCATTCAACGCTGAAAAATGAAAGACTTTAAGACGTTGTAGAGTACATTTAATTTTCAAACCCGTTATTTTAAGTTTAAAGTAGCTTTCTTATCAACCTCACTTCGTTTCCCCCCCAGAATATGAATTTTCAGTGTACACAACATTCAAATTAGGTAGAAGGAAGGTTTTGGAAGGTGAAATCAAAGTGTGTTCTCCTGCTTGAAGGCCAGATTGCTATCTTTGATGCTCTAGCAGTTAGATTTTTGTGGCATTTAATTATTCTTGCTATTAGGCTGATTTATGTCAACTTCGAATCACAGCCAGCTTGTGTAATAGTTAAACAGTGAAGCCATTAGGTTATACTTAACTTCATCAATTCTTAAGTTATTCATTACCTTTTTGTTTAAGCCAAAAGTGTTGGCTCTTGTAAGCATAAATTGGTGCTGACTGTTTAACTTGAGTTAATGAAGGGTTCTTTACACCCTTCTTCTGACTTTATTGTACTTTAAAGGGCTTGGTGATAATTCACTGAACAGTCTTCAATGTTGCATATGTTTTATGATAGCTAAGACCATACAACATTATGATGTTATATTGCACGAAGATTTAATCTAATATGCAGCTTGGAGGGGAGAACATTTTCACCTTATTAAAACATGATTTTAAGTCACAAAAAAATCTCTGATAAAAAGGGTTTGTGCATAGAAAATAGAAGTGCTACTCTAAAACAATAGGGCAGATATCTCCATATTGCCAAAAATTAAAAAAAAAAAAAAAAAGCAGTAGGTGTTTAGAAGCATCAAGAATGTTTCCATGTGTTTATATCAGCTGACATAGTTAATAATTCTTTGATTCTGAAGAAAAATACCAAAAATAAAAAATAATGGAATAGAATGAAGGTCAACATTCCCCACTCTCGATAAATTCCACCATAACAGACATAGGGCTATATCTAGTGGCAAAAAAAGATGCTAATTAAATGTTCTATGAAAAATTTCAAATGTATGACTCCCATCCTGATATTGTATTTAAATGGCTATTCATATATGAAACACCTGGCTCTGATGAAGTTGGTTGCCAATGCATATATGACACATTTCTTCCAAAAGGGTTAAGGAAAAAATTGTTCTATATGTTTTTGTTTAAATTGATAAGTGCTTTATATTGCATTTATACTACTTTATGTTGCATTTACGCTTATTATATTATATTGCATATTAATTATGTTTTCTAATTTGTACATTAGCCATTGTATTAAAAAATTTAGGGGAAAATATGTTTCAGAGTACCCCTTGGCGAAAATTGACGATTTTTTGGTGCCGTTTCTGTTTACGTGCAACATCCTTCCAAGTAAAATGCCATCTAAAACATAATGCAGGAAAACATAAAAAATTTATAATCTCAATAAACTGCTTTATAAATCTAAATAATACAAGGAAATAATATAAAAATGGAAATACATGTTATCTAATCTGAGCAGTACAAAAAGAAAATATCAACTTACTTTATATAGAAATTTCTGTGTCTCTGGTGTATAGCACACAGAATTCCTTAACAGCACCCAAAAACTGTTTAATATTATTTCAACTAGAATCTGTATACTGCTGTCAGTCACAACATACTAAATTCACAAAAATAAGAATCAAAAATATTCTTCGTTCTACCGGAGGCATTTCTTTAGACAATCCCTTTTTATTACACTCTCTATATCTTCGATAATGTTCATATGAGCTCTGGTTTCCGAATCCTTAAATATCTCTGCATAATTTAAGTAGAGGTCAACCAAGCCATTCAAACCTTCATTTACACACCAGTCAGTCAATGCTTTCATTCAAAACCGTACAGAAACTTCAGGTGAATATTACCACCAGCAGCCATTTTATGGTGTAAAGCACAAAATAAGCAACATACTTCCTAACTGACATCCAACACAGAAATAAGCCCTGAGAAATATTCTCCCAAATAATCAAAATCAGCGCCATCATGCATTACCAGTCACATCATAATAGGATTTCCGAAGCATACAACGTAAAATACTCAGGTTACCATAAATGAAACAACTTGGCAGTAATCCAAGGGGTACCCCAAAATATAGACTCCTCAAACTTAGAATCATACTGTTAAAATTGATCCCTTTTTGCCCCTAAAAGTGGTTTTTTTTTATTTTTGCTTAAAAATGCTGTCGTTGTGTTTTGATTTAAGTGTAAAAGCTTATTTGTAGCATGTATGTAAATGGCCATGCTGTCTCTTAAATAGTACATATAATATTTTTTATGCCTTGTAAGTTGCAAAATGATTTGCATTTTTGAAGTTATAACATTAGATTGAGCTTCTCATTTATTGTGATAACCAAGGTCATATTTTTATACTGTACATTCTTAAACAAATTCTAGTTAATTTCTGATTGATTAATTAGTAAGATTGTACAAGTTCCCACTTTCTAGATAAAGAATTGAGTCATAAGATATAAAATTAGGCCATGTGACAAAAGTCAAATTTTACAGGAGCAACAAAAAACTATTCCATTCCTTACAAGAATGTCAGAAGACGTTTGAAAAATGCTGAATTACATTAATCCTAGTTACATTAATTTTGTAATTTTTAGTTGTTGACTTCTGGCATTCTTGTGAAGAACAGGTTTTTGTGTTTTTCTTTTTTTGGTTATTTCTCTTGTAAAATTTGACTGTTATCATATAGCCCCTTTTGACATCTTCTGATTCAATTAATAGTTTGATTTTGATTATTATTTTTTTATTCTAGGAAACTGGTATCCATTTCCATTTTTAATAATATCATGTAGAATCTAGTGTGCCGAAGAGGATCTTAGTTAATGGCCTAAATATGCATTATGAAATTGCAAGCAGTCAACCTAAAGAAGTAATTTTAAATGATGCAAATAAAATTTCTCATACAAAATCATCAGATAAAAATGGACTTGATACAACTTCATCTTGTACTTCAAATGAAGAAGGCATTGGTGTCCTGGAGGTACCAGAACTGAGTGAGAAAGATTCTGTGCCATGTGGAGATTCACTATCGATATGGAAAGCAACCTCCAGAAGGTGTTCCAGCGATGGAGCATTGAAAGCAATGCAGGGAAATTTAGTGCCAAAGCCAGAAAGAGGTAACAGTTTCTCTGACTCAGATGAAAAAACTGCAGCACTGAAAGCAAAGATAAATGAAAAGTATCAACAGCTAGAACAAGAAATGGCAGCAAAAGCTTGCGCAAATGGACTGACTTTGTCAACTAACTCACCGTCATCTCAAGCTGTGTTAGAATTAGGAGATAAAACAGCTGCTCTACTGTCTCCAGATCCAAGGTAAGATTTGTAATCTGTTTTACTTAAAACACAGTTGAAAATCCTCTTTTTCTTCAAGTGTCTTCAAATATGTCTTCTATGACCTTCATTCCTTTTAATTGCCTGTTGATATTAAATACCTTCTATACACATGATATTTATCTCAGTAGTGGTAGATAATATATTTGAGTAGCTTTAATTGGCTTCCTGAGCTATTTATTTTAAGTATTGAAATATAAGTGAATAATTTCCAAGTACAAGTTTTTATTTAAGCAATTTTCTGTTGTTTCGATTCTATTCTTTCCGAATTTCACAAGAAATTTCATGGTAACTCATTACTCCATTTATATATAGCTCCCCATCTGGACCTGCCCTCCCTCCAAAAAACAATTGTAAAACCGTCATTTGTATTATATACTTCTTACAAAAACAGAACTTACACTGAACACAAGGAGCATCCCAGTTGTATCTGTCCGTTTTTGGCTCTGCATTATTGCTGCCAGTCAGAAAGAAAGAATACAAGTTCACAAACGTTTTGGATGATCTGAGCATTTGTGTTTGTATATTTATTATATATGCAGGTGATGTTTTGTTTTGCTTCTTTTATTATACTATAATTATGTGATGTATTCTAACAGTGGGTGCATCAGTTACATACATATTTCCAGGGGCTATAGTATGAAGCATAAGTTGTTGAGAACCTCTGTTCAAAATGATGCACTAAATCTTGAAAACATCATGCATCCATATCATTGCTTTGCAAAGTGTCTGAACACTTCACCTATGAACTTTGAGGGCAATTTGAGAACATAAATACGAACCATATTCATATACAAAAACAAGATTTAAAATGGAAAAGTCTTATAATATGCCAGCAGACTGGGCCTGCACTTGGAGCTTCTTTGTGAAAACTTGTGATGTCTTGTGAAAAATATGCGTCATTTTACTAATGCTAAATTGGTGCATGTGCTAATCATATATGAAAAGTAATATCAGAGTCACCATAAGAAATATATCAGGAAAGCAGCAAATGTATTCTCATTTGAATCAGAGCCTGTATGAACAGGAATGTTTCATGGTTAGTATGCAGGACACTGTGCTCATTGAAGATATATTAATATTTATGGTATGTATTACAGGCACAAACATGCATACAGTTGCCACTGAAATGGAAGCAACTTGGGCCGACATATAGTAAATTGTAGGTGATGGTGCTGTACATTTGTTTCATCTGCAGTATGTCCACTTATTGCAGATGGAAGATTAGCTATCATGTGTGGAATTTGTGCAGTATGTTCTGCTAGGAAGTGCTGGAGACCGGGGATTACTAAGTTTTATTCTGTTCATGGATGAAGTGGACCAATCCTCATAGATGTATGTTTTGTTTATTGAAATATAGCATGTGAATTTAGATGAGCCTGCATACTATGTAATCACATACTATACCTCTTAATCATTAATGAGTCCTAGTGTCATGGACGAGTGTTTAATTGACCTTTACCAATCCAATTGGACTTGCAAAAGTACCAGACTTTTCTGTATGAGATTCTGCCTTATTTACTGAACAGCGTTCCTATTGACTGTTGTGATTCCAATATAATACGACTCCAGTCCATTATGCTATTCGTATATATGAGGGTTTGGACTGAACCTTTGAATATCAGTAGCTTAGGCATGGGAGGCCTATAGCATGCCCTTACTTTCCTCTGATTTATCTAGCATCAGTTTCTTTCTATGGGAATCTTTGAGGCCGATTTCTACAAAACATTCTTTGCTTCTGACATTTACCTGATGGCAAGAATGAACATCACAGCTGTTAATGTCTGCAAAACTCTGTTATTTCTGAAAATGTTCAGAATTCCATGTGGTGTTGATGTCATGCATGGATCACTGGGAATAGTTAAAACTTTGAACACTTTTTATGAAATCAGTTGTTTTACCCAATTTCTATGCATGTGATGTGTATGTGTCTCCTGCATGTGGTGTAATTAGCTGTGCTTTCCTGTGTGAATATGATTCATTCACATGAGAAACTTTCCCATTCAGTATTTTCCACCTTCTCTCAATATTTGTCAGTAGAAGTTCTAAGACAGTCTGTATATATTAGCTCACTTCATTATTGTTCAAGCTGTGTTTAAAAATGATCATAATTAACATAAAATAATCTGTTAGATAGTATTTTTTTACATATTTATATTATAAACCTATTATATATTAAGTAATGGATATTGACTATTTTTTAATGATCCAAAAATCACTCTTATGATCTAAAATTTCAGAAAACAAAGAGTCAAGTAAAGAATTGGGCAAATGTATGTAATAAATACTGTACTCATAAATAACATTTATAATCATGATAATGAAAATGTCTGAATATCGTGAATATTTTATCTCCTAGCGTCGATCTTAGTAAAGAGCTGATCTTTGAGATTATTATTCCCCATTCCTTTGTATACTTTTGAAATTCTTTCTTACGTATTCTGGGCATGTTTATAAGTGATGTATTTAACAGGATGGTACCACCCGAAGACACTTGTGTTTTTACAAGTGGTGGACCAGCTGGTGTACTTTGTGAGTTGAAAACTACAGAAGATCCTCTGCCTGGAAGAAATTCTTTAATGGCTGAAGTTAAAGAATTGGCATATTCTCGACTGCAGCAAGAACTTCAAAAGGCTCAACTAGTATGTGTATAAATTTCACAAACAATGAATACAATCTTTTAAATAGTGTTCTAGAAGTGTGTGTAGAAAGCATAGTAGTAAATATTGTTTCAACATTTTCTGGAGTCGTTTGAGTAATGCTTTATTTTTTGCAGGAGTTAAAGCTGAAAGATGAAGAAGTGGTTAGATTAAGCCAAATTCGGGATGAGGTTGGTGCGGAATTAGAGGAATTGACAGCAAGTTTATTTGAAGTAAGAAGTTATTTAGTGTTACAAGTGTTCAGTAAATTAAATTGATGAAATTTGATCTGAAACCATAGAATAATATTCAGAATGAATATTTTTCAGTACTGTATTTTAAATTTGAGAATTTTATGTTGTTTAGTCCTGTGTAAACTCTTTTCTTTTTTTTTAATAGGAAGCAAATAATATGGTGCGAGAGGCAAATGTGAAACAAGCTTATGCAGAAAAGATGCTGAAGGAAGCAAATTTAAAAGTATGTAGATAAATATTATAAGAATTTCATGACTTAAAAAAAAAGGGTATGTTTGTCATTTGGCATGATTTGAGAAAAAGTTCATTGTTATGAGAAAATTAAATTATTCCTTGTTACATTTCACATTCTTCATTCCTTCATAATTGCGTTAATTTCGAACAGAGACACAAAATAAATTTGGAAAGAAATATTTTAGAAATATATTTATTTATAATAAGGTTAATCGCTGGAATTAAAAAAAACATTAAACAGTATACATCTTTTTGATGAAATATTAATTGTAATTAGCTTTGTAATGCTCAAGTTAATTAAAGGATGAGTAATGGTATTTATTATCTATTTTTAAAACAGCTAATCATGTCATTCTACTCAGCATTTTTTTCAGTTCCTTTTATTCTGATTAAATCTCTCACTCTCTTAAACAAACCTCCGTCTTTTTTTAATATTTTTCTGCTAGATTTGGGCCGAACTATCTTAATCTGTTCTGTCAGAAGCTTTTACTGTTGCACATCATGTAATTAAAAAAGCTTTCATTTGGCATGAGAAAATTTTCTTTCACTTCAGATGTTCTCAAATATTTGGTTGGTATACTTATCTTTTCTTCTTTAACATTATGTATTTACACAATTTTTGGTTTTCTCCTCCAAATATCATATATAACACCAAATATCATATACACAAGGTGATCGTAATTAAACTTGGCCTATTCAGAACTCTCTGTAGTTATAACTAAACTGCAGATTGATTAAAAAATGTGTAGATAGGCAATTCAAAGTATGCACTGAAAGATTCCAAAAAAAAAAATTCTGCTGTGAGGCACATTACATCGAAATACAAACAAGCTACAAATTTCAATGCAAATATCGTGTATTTGCTTCAGACTGTTTAGTAGTGTAAAGCATATTGTTAAGTGTGGGCTCCCTCATTAAAGTATAAAATGTGCAGGCAATGAGAGTGTTCAACAGCTGACTGGCAGTGATTTTTCGCACATGCAGCATTATAGAGTTGTTGAAGTCAGCTAAAGTTGCAAAATTCTACTGATGAACTACACTCTACATCCCATAATCAAAAATTGCGCGGATTAAGATTGAGAGAACAGGCTAGGCAAAGGGTGGTATATGAACAGCTAAATTATTCTGTCATCAGTAAAATGTTGCCACAAATACCTCTGCACATAGAGTCCAATATGTGGGAGGGTACAATGCTGCATAAAAGTGCTAGATGCAAGGCATTATCGCTGCTGAAGTTGAGGTAAGATGAAACTATTGAGCATGTCATTATATTTAATTGTCATTACAGAGCACATTTCAGTGCCATTATCAAAATTTTCTTCGAAAAAGAATGGTTCAAGGATAAATTGTGAAGTGAACCCATACCATATAGTAACTGTAAATGAATGTAATGGAATTGTTCTGAAGGCATATGGACTTTCTATGGCCCAAATCCAAAAATTCTGGATGTTCACAATTCTATTGAGATAAAAATATGCCTTGTCATTCCAGAGAATGTTCCACGGTCAGTAATCGTCAACTTCCATTTGGCCAAGAAACGTCAGTACAAAGAGTACACTTTTTCCCTCAGTATTTTCTACTCTGATCCATACAATATGTCTAATTGTCATGACACTGCACTTGCACTTCTAATGTCATGATCATTTGTCAGTGACTGCTCGACAACGGTCATTGCTACCTCTGAAACAACTTCTGCATTAATAAATTTTTGCCTGCTGCCACGTTGAACACCTAACAATCCAGGTTTTCCAAATTGAGATATCATGTGTTTCACACCTTGTGGAGACATTGTTGCCTGGCACAGAATATTTTGATTTTGAAATTCACAAGGATCTGCTACAGCATTACCCTGGTTTTCATAAATCAGTTTTGTGATTAAAATATGTTCTGGTAAACTAATAGTTATCGTAACTGAAAGAATGCTACTAACAGGGTTGCCATGCTACCTGGAAAACCGGAAAAAGTCAGTGAATTCGGAAATTGACCAAAAAATTCAGGGAAAAGTCAGGGAATTTAAGTCTTTCAGTCAAAATCTGGAAAAGTCAGGGAATTTCAAACAACGATTCCACCAAAAAAGGCGAGTTTTGCGCCGACGTCGGAAGAGATCACTTTTTTGGCGGATTGTGTATCACGTGAGTGTCATTTGGGCAGCTGGCATAGAGCCAATTTTCGCAGCTCCAATTTGTCTTTATTTGATTGATAGAAAGGCAAAGCAAGTTTCCCGCAACTTTTGGTTTCCAGTAACCTCGAGAATCGCATGTGCAGTGCGTGAACTAAAGAAAGTACCTGTTCTCATATAAAACAAAATGGGTTTAATCCTAGTATACGGTACCATGAAGGTTAGAATTAAAAAAATATGTATTGTAAACAAGGAAAACCTCTCTGCAACAGACGTGGCTCGGTTCCATCATAGCGGGAAATAGCTGTGCATGCGCGATGTATCTGTCGCCAAAGCTCGAAACCGGTGTCGAAGTTCGAAGGTCACGTTATCAAGAGTTCATAAAATGAATATCGTTTAAAATGTCTTTAAACTCTAAAGGAAAAGAAAATATTTTTTGGCGCAAGTAAATTAATTCATGGATTAGTTATTTTTAAGGGGGGGAATCTACGAAAATCCGTTTTTAAAATTATTGCAAAAAATCCAAGAAAAAACGTTCTTTGATAAAACGTTTCTTCTTGGATTTTTCGCAATAATTTAAAAACGGATTTTCGTAGTTTTCTTTTTTGTCAAAGAACGTTTCTTCTTAACACGTGTTTCTCAATTTCCTGTACACATCGCGGAGAGGGAAATTCTGGCCGTTCCATCTTCTAATCCCTTGGCAAATTTTCCCTCCGCTTTTTACATAGACGTTCTTTGGTCAGAATAATCTCCATGTATGGTACAGCGGGATTTGGCGACATGATGATGAGCAGTAAACGGGTCATTTTGTTCTTGGCGACAATTTTCAAAATCATGCGAAGGCTGTTTTATACTCCGTGGACGTATCGTATACTAGGATTTTACAGCAAAATCTTTTTTTTTTTTTTTTTATAAATACCTTGTCATTTTGCAGTAAAATAAAAAAATATTAATCAATCATCTAGGATAACCATGTAATAATTATATTCGCTAAAATATCGTTGATTATTCTAATTAAATTTTTAAGTAATTATCTTTATTTTTATGTTATTCATATCATTTAATGTTGCTTCTTCCCTCTAAATTTATTTATCATTAGTAAATAATATTTCCAAATTTCAGAACATTTTCTCTGGCATAATCCTGAAATTAATTCTAGCAGTATGATGACATCACGAAATTTAATGCACATATTTTTTCCGTATGTATGCTGCGGAATAAATAAAAAATACCTCAATTTAGTAAAAAAATATCATTAAATAGATTTCTTTCTTTCGTTTAGCTGCAGAATGTCTGCAAAAAAGCCTTATTTTATTCCAGATTGGGCAGATTCTAATCTCAATCTTCAGTGGAGAAAACAACTCCTATTATAATTATATTTGTGTTTTCAAGTGTTAAGGTGCCTTTTAAGAATACACCTCACACAAATTAGATTTACCTAAAATCTAACCTAACTTTTAGCATTGCGTTGTGATTTATAAGAACCGGATAAGCCTCGTGTTGAACTGGGGATGATCATGAGTAATAATTAAATAAAACGCACAGTTGTTATCCAACGTATATATCTTAAATTTTATTAAGTTTTTTAAGCGGAAAAGTAAACAAAATTATCAAACAAAGTGTACCAAGAATAATTAAGAATAAATGTCCTCTGGGATTTATTGAATAATTAAGTGAATTTGCTACACAGTACAAGTAACACCATAATTAATTTACCTCTTAGCACAGCCAACGTACATTACGCGGATAGACTGGAATTTTCTCGAAACATACCTGGAAAAGTCAGGGAATTTCATTCTCCTGTTTGAGTGGCAACCCTGTACTAATTTGATCTGGAAAATGTTAAAATAGCCCACAGTTATTTATTGTGTATATTTTAAAGCATTTTGTCTGTAATGCATCCTCTAGTGGAAATTTTAACGATTTTCCTTTTGTGTACATGTGAAATCTTTCATCTACAAATTTTCGAATCAATCTATGTCTTAGTTATAGCTACAGAGTGCTCTGAATAGGTCAAGTTTTATTATAATCACCTTGTATATATTTCAAACAAGAAGTATGTTAATATGTTTTTATATAGTTGGTGGACTTTTTGAGGATTGTTATTGTGTTTTACATGAACACGAATGCAGAATGAATTGTGAAAAGGCTTGCAATATTTTTATTTGTTAATGTTTTATATTTATGTGTATTAGACATTATTTGCTTGTTCAGTCAACTGTGGCAGATTATGTAAAGGCTGTCAGCATAGGGGGTGCCTTTATGGAAGATTTTCTAAGAGAAAGTGGCTTGCATTCCCATTTTGTATGAAGGAAATGCCTATGTGTAGCCATCCTATTTGCTGGAATATGAACCTGGGTCAAACTAAAAGTATTGGTTGTATCTACTCAATCACTGATGGGCAAAGAAGCATACTTTGAAAAGGATTTAATGTCATAACTCGATTGTAAAGTATTATTAAATTTTGGCCATAACATTATGGGTTGTTTATCAAAATATAATGTTATTAGATACTTTTCAGTATATATGTATTTCTGATATATATCAATAATTTTGTTTTTTTCTCTTGTGTATGGGGGAGTTTTATATTCAAAACAATTTGCAACTCTATAAATCTTTGAAAATGGCAAATTACTTTAGAAAAATAATGCAACTACAAGTGTCATTGTATATTGTGTTCTAGATTGAAGTTCTCCAAGCTGAAGTACAAGCACTGAAGACTCTAGTTATAACATCTACACCAAGCATGCCAAATCCTCATTTGCATCCACAAATTGACAAACGCCATAATGGAGTCAGATCCCTATTCACACCAGGCCATAAAAGATCACCTAGTAATTATGAGCTATGTTCTTATAAAGAAACACCTCCAGGGTCACCAACCAAAGAATCAGACCTTTCAGCATTTAGTCCTGATAATTATGAAGTAATGTATTTTTTTAATTTCTTAATTTTTTAAAAATTATAATAAACTATTTTAGGAAGGAAAAAGAATGTACCATTAAATACTTTGAATATATAATTTTGTCATTTTAATGTATTAACATTTAAAAAAAAGATTTGCAGTTTAAGTATTGTGTTAATTTTTAATTAAAAGTGTTACATCATTTCTAATAAACTTACTTTGGTATTCATTTTCTTCCCGGTAACTTGAGAAGCATTTTCTTCTATGTGTTTACAAGTTATAGAATTTCAGAAATGATTTTTTTACAATGTAATCCTAATTAAAAAAGCAAAGAGACAAATCTGCACATGGGCTGCTAGATCGAAAGTGATAAAAATCAAAAAGTAAAGGTCAGAACGAAAATGAATAAAATTCTGTTCCTGCAATGTGAATGTCTACCTTTCTTCTCTGGGTAAATTTTTCAAACTGAATAAATGCAAATTAATGAAATTTTCAGAGACAGAATTGCTAAATGAAAATTAAAATGAGAAAATTTTTAAAAAAATTACAGAACAAGATACATAACAAAATTATTTTTTTTTATTAATCTTCTCTGTTTAATGCTTCAAACAGAACTTGTCAAGGGAAACGTATTTTGAAGCCTTATACGAGTATATATACAAAACAATACTTTTGAAAACAAAATATAAACATGCATAGTATTTTCACACATTAAGCTGCAGAAAAATTATCATTAAAGACATAAAGTAAGAAATTTAAAACTAATATTTCACAAAGTCCAAAGATTGAAATTCATAATTAATAAATTTCAAATAATCTTATAAATGCAACAAAGAATTTAAAAAATGTTAACCAAAACTTTTCAAACAAGCAAAGCATCATTTAAAAAAATTAATGAAATTTAAAGAAAAATGAACAGAAACAGAAGAGGAATTCAATCAACTTCAGTGCTATTATTCGTCAGGAGGGAGGAACATTGAAATCTTTCTTCTACAAAAATTCTTGCTTTTTTGTATCCAGAATTAGCCGGTGAACCATTTCAATGTATTTTAATTATAATAGTTCACCCGAAAATTCTGACCCTTCCCCAAAACTAGGAAAAAACAAAGTAAATTCTAATTAGAATAATTGGAATAACCTTAAAGAAAGAGAATTCTATTTTATTAAAAGAATTGGAAACAAAAGTAAAAAAACAAAATACTTCAGTGAAAAATTTTTAAATCAAAATGTTTATCTTTAAACGGATAATTCAATGAATTAAGATGTGAGTGAATTTATAAAACATAGTTGTAAAAACCTAATTAGAACACACAAGAAGTAATTAAGAACTTCGAGCACTCTCATCAGACACCAGAGATGCGAAACAGTAGGGACGTACTGGTTTGCCAATTTGACTGCATTGGCAAAGCTAAAAAACCTTGTCAAGAACGTAATCGCTCAAAAGGCTAAAATATGGTACAAAATATATAATTTTGAAACCAAAAGAAAAACTTAAATATTTCAACGAAAATTTATTTTTATTTTTTAGTCAAAAAAAAGTTTGCATATTAATTGAATTATGTTTAAGTAAATTCTGACTCTTAAAAAACAAAAAAGGGAAAATTATTTAGTGTAAAACTTTAATTAAATTTTAAAATCAATTAATCCTTAAAAAGTTGCCCAAAAAATGATCAAATAGTTTTTAATAATTGTTTTGTAGATATGAGTAAAAAAAATTTATGAAGTTGAATTGTAATTTTTTAATTTTGTAGTTTAAAGTCATAGCAAAAAATTTAAAAAGGAAGTAAAGGAACTATGTTAGAAAAGTAAATAATCTTCACGTCACGGGCTTCTCATAACAGCTTTGAATACATATAAGGCCATGATTATTAACAGAATACTAAATAAAATAAAGAATGATTAAAAAATATTAAAAAAAAAATAATAAAATAAAAAAATCCTATATACCGTTTAAAATAATCCTTCTTTTTGGAGCTTTGAGATAAAAAATTCATACTTTTAAAAACTATTATAGGGTGTAGACTACTCCAGATTTCATTAATATACTGTTAATGAATTTTAAAGGAATTTCATTATCTTTTAAAATTTTGGTAAGAATTAGAATTTCTTCTTTTTGTGTTTCTATTTCATATATATTGCCATGGTTTGCCATCTTTTGCCCTTTATTCTTCACATCAAGTTACATAAATTACATTGTCAAATGTTTCTTGTAAGATAGAAAGTTTTTTCAAAGTTAAAACATCTGATAAAATTTCTACATTATCCTGTTTATCAGCCATGCTTATTTTTCCCCCCTTTTCTTCTTCTGAATTCAGGTTGATCCAGTGTTTCATCAAGAGTTCTTAGAATGGCATCAAAGTCCAACTTTGGACAAAAATACACCTTTCTTATCAAATATCTACAAAGAAGATATTTTACCTTGTTTGCATTTTACAAACAGTAAGGTAAAGCATAGTTTTAAAATATTTCTTAAACTTTTTTTTTATTACTTCCATTTAACAAGAGGAATATTTTATTAAGAAATCTGTATATAATTTTTAACTGTCACCTACAGCTGTCGCAAGCTGTTTTGTCTGCCATAGAAGAAAATGCCATAACTATTGAACTGGTAAATGGAAAGAATCCTTTTCCAAAGTAAGTATTTTATATACACTATATATACTTATATGGTGTAATTTGTTAAAATGGAGCAGTATTTTCTGTTTAGTTCTGTATTGTATATATATTTGTTAGAATGCTGAAAATTTTAAACTTCTAAATCAGCCTTTTGAGAATTAGTTTGAAAATTTATGAAAAGTTTGGATGAGTTTTGAAAATATGACTTAGTTTGAAATCATATTTAGAATTTAAGTTCCATTTGACATCATTTTCTATGCAAAATGGTATGCTATAAATTGCATCATCATTTTTTTTTTTTTTTAATTTAAAAATATTTTCTTATTTTGTCAAGCAGCTGTTTTCAATTTAAAAAAATCACATGCATGGAATTTTCTTATGTTTGTGTCAGAAGAAAACAATAAAATCTGAAAACTCTTCTGAGACTTCAGAAACTTTAAATATGTGACACACACTTTCAGACATAGTGCTGTTTTGTGATAATACTCAATTGCATGCTGCTGCTCAACCTCAGGTCACCTTGAAGTCATTTGGCTGAAAACAGATGAATCACCCTCCATGTAGCCTAGACTTGACACCAAGTGTCTTTTCCTGCATCCTGTTTCTTATCAGTTAAGAATTCGACAGTGAAAAAGAAATAAGTATTTCTTTGACTGAGACAGGTGAAATGTTTCTTGACAGAGGGATAAAACAAATTGCTGCTGCTTTGCAATAAACGCTTCATTAATGGCAGTCATGGAGAATGTAATCAAATAGAAATTATTTTCTGAACCTTCCATATCAGTATAGTATTGCAAAAAAGTATTATTAAAGAATATGAGAAAGTGATTGTCTTTTTTAGCTGTATGCATTCAATGACATGTGCTGTGGACTAAGAATCCTTTTTTTTTTCTTCTTGCCCCCCTCTCATACTAGAAATAATAGTTATGATAGTTTATAATTATTTATATTATTTTTTAATGTATAAATATAATAGAGTCAGGTATTTGTATAGAAAATTTGATTTTCAAAGCTACCAAAGAATTGTAAGGAACATATTTTGGAAAATTTACTTAATAATAAATTAAACTGCATACAGACATCTCCAGCTATTTGATAAGTTAGAGATTTTTTATTAATCAGTCTGGATGCAAATTTTTAAACAAGAAATTTTTGCCTCTTGCATTTCATTATGGCATTTCTTTCTTTACTTCTTCTTCTTCTTCTTTATTTTTTTATTTATTTATTTTTTTTTTTTTAATGAAAAAAAATTTCTCATTCTGGCTTGGAATTCCTTCTTGCACTCTCTGGGTTAGATTTTATAGTAACACTAGCAAGCCCCCGAATCTCTAAAGAATTAAGAGCTAACATGTGAAACTTGCTGCAATATGAATTGCATGGGAATGAGAATGGGAGAATTAAAAATTAGAGAATAAGTCTACTTTAATTTAGTATTTAATCCAATTTCTTATTAATCAAGATGCTGATGTCATTGCTAATGCTGGAAATATTAACTTAAGTGACAATAAATAATAAAAAAATCATTCGTCTCATAGTATCTTAAAACCAGCATCAAAACAGTTCACAGAATGCAAATCATAAAATTAGCTTATAACATCAAATATACGTAAATGATATACGTACTTAAATGTTAACACAACCACCGTCTGAATATTTTATGATTTTTTTGAAGATGAAAAGGTAAAAGTATTTATTGGATGATATGGGTGGTTTTTATGACTTTTTTTAAAAAAAGCTTCCCAAACTATTTATATGTATCCTAAGTTGGCAAACTTCATCAATATACGAAAAGAAAACATAACAATTTAAAATACAGATTTTTATAATTAAGTGAAGATTGTGTGATGTATTAAAAAAATTAAAATACTTATACTTGTCCCAAATCTTTTTGTTGAGGTATTGTGCTCTCCAAATACACAGTGATCTGTCATTGCTTAAAAAACATCATGGAATTGCAGAGAGTTGGCAATGCTGACTATCTACCAAGCATATCTCCTAGTTATTCTGGAGATACGCTTGGTGTATCTCCTAGAATTCTATATCTCCTAGTTATTCTAGGAGATTCACTTGGGCCATCTAAAGTTCTAGCCCTTTAGATGGCCCAAGTGAAAGAGTGTTTCGTATCAAGGAACATGAATCTTATGACCGAAAAGGCAAAATTAACAAGTAACTAATAATAGTTGAAAATTTGGTCACAGTCTTGACTTCTGCAAAAAATTATCCTTGAAGCTTTTCTCATTCAGAAAGCTTTATATTGTTTAGTTAATGACTAATTCCAATCCAGTCCTTGCTGACACTTTTAAAATTGTATTAATTTAATTGTTCACTTTTCATTACTATTTCTGCTGACAGATGGTGCCAACTTCTTTTTTACTTTATTCCTTTTAGATATAAATACAACCATGGCTTTCCCTTCTTTGCTCCTGATAAAGAGGGACTTGTACCTGTTTGCCCTCGAAATTGATAGAACTTTTACTAAAATCTATGCCAAACATAAGGTTGTTGCTTTGCCTAATTTTATGTTTTACTTTGGCATGGTTCTCTTCTGTCTTGATGATCCAGTTATTTTTGTTGAAATTTCTCTTCGTACATCTCTGCTTTTAAACCTTATCAAACTTGTGGTATAGCATTAAATTTTTTAAAACTGCTCCTCTCTCAAAATTTTAATTTAATTAGTGAAAAGACATATAGACACTATATTCAAAATTTTATTAATTGGTAATAGTTTTATGTAAATAGTGCATTTATATTTTTTGGTAAAGTATAGCATGTGTAGATGTGCATAAAAATTTTGGGGTACCTTAAAATTATTGTTTTCTTTAATGTCAGAAAAATTTGATTACCCACAGAAAAATCTTGCACAGCATTATTTATTGTTGTTATTATATTCTTTATTGCTGTTGTACTTCTTTTATGTATTCTAAGTGATTCTAATCAATGTATTCAGTATATCAGTGGTCTCAAATTGATAGCACATGGCGGGCTGCATGAATGACTTGAAAGCAGCCGGGGGAGCTAGATTTTTGTAACAGAATTTCAAACAAATAACTAAATTTTAACTTTATTTCAAATTTCAGTTATTGAATATTTATCAAAACATACATAAACTACAATAATAATAATGCAAAGGAAAAAATTCAAATTTATCATGCTTATTTTCTATCTATAACAAATTTCTGTTGAATACATTTTATACTTCAAATGTACTAGCAGCTAAATACAAAAATTTTTTGACTGACATTCATTTCGAATAATTCTGATATGTTGAATTTACCACTATATTCACCACTAACCACTTACCTAACAAATTCTAAAATCCTACCAAATTTTCAGAGAAAACTTTCCTAGGCGAACAAAAAACAACCTATTCTCTTTTCTTTATGTATGAAATTTTTTTATCATCGCATGAAGAAAAAAGTTCATATGATTGTATTTGAATAATTATTCATTTCTTTACTTTTTACTATGGGCCCACCAGAGGCTGAACGGTAAAGTCACTGAACACTGGTAGTTCGGTCCGAGGTTCGAATCCCGCAAACGGGCTGGCTGCATGGGCATTTTCGTGGTTTTCCCCATGTGTAATGTATATATGAGCCAGTTTCCCTTAGAAAGTCCTCCACGAAGGCATCCCTCCCCTTAGGCAGATAGCCCTCGAGGCTTTGCCATAATCACACTCACTTTACTTTTTACTACAGCTTGACGCTTGATGGCATTGCAAGTTCGAAACATTTCTTACCTTGGAGAAAAATTACTGGAAACTGTCTTCATCATAGATTGTAGATGTTCATTAGTTAATCGAGCCCTTTGTTAGGCTTGTTAATTTTTAACTGTGAAAAAACTGTTCACATGTAAATGCACTCCCAAATAAAGCAATTATCCTCATTTCAAAAATGCACAGTTGATGATATTTTATTTTATCTTTTGACAGGTATGAGTAAAAGTAACCATAATTTGTGTCTTTAAGATTAAGGTTATCTTTAAGGTAAGATCTTTAAGTCTTTTAAGATTTACACCATGTTGTAAATGAATTAATTCCATTTGTAAATTTCTGGTATGTTATTCATGTCCGCTTTTAATGATGATGAAAAAATAATGTAAAACCGATCTCTAAATCACTAAATTCCTTAAATCTGTCTTCAAGTTCTTGTTCTAATAATGCTGTTTTTCATTTGGAACATTAAGGCAGTATTTAAGTAGAAGAATTTATTTTTCCTTATTTCAGTTTCATTTTCCATATTTGCAGTTTAACTGTAATAGCATTAACAGAAGCATACATGTCAGTGATAAGTTTGTTACCTTTTATTTGCATCACTTTATTGAGAATATTTAAGTGGGCAATTAAACCAAGGAAAATGCTAAATCATGCATCATTTTGTAGTTTGTCGATGGTTTTATTTTTTTGTGCCTTGAAAATTTTGATTTCATTTATGAAATATTTTTTTTAAATATAGCTCCTCGACTTAACTATCCTACCTCATTATAATAAATCATTTCTCATACTCGGTTCCAGTTTCTTCTAGCATTACAACAAATTCTGAATGATTTATATCTTGTCCATAGATGAAATTTACTGTTTCCATAATATCATGTATTTGAAACCTTTTGGTAGAGAGTGCTTCTTGGTGAGTAGTACAATGTGTAGTGCAAAACATATTCTGAAAATTTTCTTCTTTCACTACATTTGTTAATTTTACTGCTATCTTTTTTTTTTAACCAAACATAGCACCTTCACCATCTTTTGCAAATCCAACTATTTGATCTCAATCTAATTTATAGTTATTTATTACATTTTTTATTTGAGAAAAAATATTCCTTGCAACAGTTTTTCTTCTCATAAGGATTATTTCCAGTAATTCCTCAACTACTTTACATCAGAAATGCCGAGCTATGCATTATCTGTATATTAGCAGTACTCATACAGGGTTCGTACGGTTCTTAAAAGTCCTTAGATTTTTTGAATCGATTTTTGGTCCTTAAAAGTCCTTAATTTTGGCCAAAATCAGCAGAAGGTCCTTAATTTTAATCATCTGAAATTTCTGCCTGTTTTTACGACTGTCATTTTGAGTATGAATTAGCATTTTGAGGAATATTTTTGGCGATTCACTGCCGTATATATGGTTATCTTTTGAATGGGTTCTTGAGTTATAATTTGTTTCTATTTCTGGTATAAATGATGGGATACTCGAGTTTCTAAGCAAGAAGTGAAACATAATCATTTTGAAATTCATTTTTTCTAGTAAAGAGCTCTTAAACAACTTTTCGCTTTTTGGGATGTGAATTCTTTTATTAAACGGTTCTAAATTTGGCGACTTTTCAACATTTTGGCGATTTTAAGATTAGCTTCTATAGAAACTTTTTAATTCCGAGATCTGAGAATTTTTTGACGATTTTTTTAATAAAACATCGTAACATTAATAAATTTCATTAAAATAATGGTAATATATTGAAATTATATTAAAAAAATAACATTAAAATGAAACATTTTTATTTTTCACTGTAATATTATAAAGTTTCATTTTGACAACTTATTATACAATATTTTTAATCTGAAAAATAAACAAGTTATAATGCTATAAAGCACAATTTACAAAAGAGCTCTTAGCAAAAGCAAAATTAGCTATGTAATTAATTGAAAATGTCTTGTTTTTAATTTTTTTATAGTAAGAATTTTTCCCATGTAATTGTCTCAGAATATTCAAAATTCTCAGAATGTGCATCAGTTTTCTCTATAAAATTATTTTATACTTTTACCCTCCTATTGTTTCCCAAAATATTTCTGGCTTTTTGCTGTTACAGAATTGGTAGGGATAATTTTCTTTAGGATTTTAGACATTGCATCGTAGAAAGTTTAGAAGGATTTGAAGGCAAGATTTATAGACCCACGATTCTTAAGATTCGAGAAATATATGACAAAATGAAAAATGTCTCCATGGTATCAACATGTAATGGATGTATTTTACAGAAAGTTTACAATGAATTTCTTAATTTTTGGAGAACGTCTGGAAGAACAATGAAAACATATTTGAATGTATTACTTTCTGATACTAGAATCTTAAATGTTTATCTTCTCTTTATTTTCTCTACTTTTCACTACACAGAAGCATGGAAAATATCAAAAATGCTTCTGATCTTATCACATGGGCAGACATTATAGAAAGGGATTTTTTTTATTAATAAAGAAATTAAAAACTTACAATTTTATAGATTCATCTAATATTTCTTAATGCATCATACACATAGCTGGCACTAGGCATTTTCCCACCTGATGCAATCTCTGTGGATCTTAAATTTTACTGCCTAGTGCCTTTCTAAATTCTGCTTCCAATGCTTGCTCTAAATTCTAAAAGTTTTGCCATTTATAGATTTTGTTGTTCGGTGTGTCACTAAATTCTAGAACTTCTGCCACATCAGCTCTAACTGAACTTTACTATATATATTTCATATTGCTTCTGAATGTTCCTATTACTAAAGAAATAAAATTAGCCACTTTTTCTGTACATTCTAATTGCATTTAGTGCTTTTTAGAATAACAGAAATTCTTAATTAAATCCAAAAATTCTAAAATGGAAAGAAAATGTGTTGAAGAAAGAAACTGAATACATAAAGGAAATTATTATTCAAGATATGTGAAGTTATTATTATTGTAAATTACCCAATGTTTATGATTTCAACCTTTACTATATTCCCCATTCTTTTTCCTCATATGATAGAGTCTATGAGCCAGATTAAATTAAAATTAGTATAATCTTTGATCTCTAGTCCACATTATTAGTGAATTTGACTGTTTCTTGTTTAATTACACCCATGAGCTGTAATTGATTTTGTTAGCATCAGAACATGCCTTTATGTTCTAAGCTCTTTTTATTAAAGAAGAGGCTTATTTAAACCTTTATCTGGTATTAGTTAATAACAGACAGAGTGATAATATGCTTCACGCCTGTCGGGAGTTTGGGACTATTTAACTTTTACTAGATCAATTAAACTCTCATAGGTACATTGTGGAGAGGTTGACAAGTTAGGAGATAAAGACGCAGAAACTAGCGAAAGCATTGATTTGCATATTGAGACAAATCTCGAATTGTTAGAAAAGATGCTTAAAGAGAAGGAAATCGATATAAACTAGCCAAAATGTCTGGGAAGGTTCAAATTAAAATGACGGATAAATATTTTGTTGAATGTTGTTGTTACAAAACATACATGTTCTGTAGCTTTTAATGCATAATTATCTTCATTTAAGAATCTGTGTCATAAATTACATATACTTTAAACTCAAATTTTATTAGATCTTGATTTTAATAGGGCTTTTTTAATTATCTCTACATATTAAAGCGAGTTATTGCCTTTCATTAATACTCACTGTGGTCACAAGATAAAATATAAAATGTAAAAATTCAAGTAAAACATATTCTATGCATCTACTTAGACTTAAAATAATACAAAATTTATTACCTCTGGTGCTTTAATGGCTTATTGGAACCTTAAAGTATATTAACGGGGTTATAACCCCTGGAGCTGTACACGAAGCTACGACAATAACTGCATCAAACAGAACCTGACTAACTTTCAACACTTGCCAACCTTGCCTACATCAGGCCTTTCAGGTTTGTTCGAATCAGCAGGTCTCTCTCTAGACAAGCAGCAGCGGTGACAACATTCAGTCTTTTGTTATGAATCATGCCGATTATGATATTATTTCTCATTTTAACCTATGCAGTTTGATATAAAACCTACCTGCTTATTTACTAAACCTCTAGACTGACCAAGTATGTGACAAAATGAGACATAAAAAAAATCAACATAAAGCTAACTTTTAGTAAAACGTAAATGTCACTTATCTACTTTCAAATGTGACCAACAATTACAAGTGTAAAATATTTAATGCTACTTGATAAATTGCAAAGTTTATTTTATTCTCAAACTTATTAACAATTATGTTAATTAATTCATGTTTAGTAATAATGCGTACTACTTAGGGATCTATTTTAGTTTTAGGATGTATTACAAAAGGGAAATTCAGGCATGGATAATATCTTCAATTGAATTTATTCAATTCCCATTTGCTCATAGGTCCTTAATTTTCTTCATTAATGGTCCTTAAAAGTACTTAATTTCCTTGTGCAAAAATGTGTACGAACCCTGTCATACGAAAATGGCAAGTTGTAACTCAGCACTCTCATCAGTTACTACTGGCAGTGCTTCAAAATCTATAACTTTTTCATTTAACTAACAATGTAAATCACTAATGATTTTGCTTATACAGTACACTACTGTGTTGGCTGACAAACTAATAGTTTTAAATAGTTGTTGTTTGTGAGGACAAAGAAGTTCAGCAGATTTAATCAATCTGTCGCAAATTTATTGCCACTAGTTGGTTTTGATCTTTTTGCAGTTATGTGCATGACAACAAAACTCTCATGAACTGTTACTTCATTGGATTTATTTAATTCCTTAAAAAATTATTATTTTAATTTATTATTATTATTATTATTTTAAACCAGGTTTCAAAAAGTGTAACTTTTCTTTCCTCAGTTCACTTTCAACATTTCAAATTTTTGTTTATGATTTGTTTCATAATAGAGATGTTAAGTTGTATTTTTTTAACTGATTAATTCTTCTGTTACTTTTTACTCATTAAAGGTATAGCTTGCAGTTTAATCTCTTAGTTAAAATGATAATTATAGTTTTATTTACAACTTTAATTCAATGAGATGAATTTTCACAAAGTAACACTAAAACATTTTGCACAATTTAAAGTGATTGGTATTGATGCAACATAAGCCTAATGACAAGCACAAATAATAGGTTTTACAAGCCATACATTAATTTGTCTCCATTTATTTAACAATATAAATTGCAAAGCTGTAGGGCGAGCTTTTACCAACTACTGATTGGCTCAAGGAAAGTAAAAGTACCAATTACCTGGGAGGGAAAGATGCACCAGAATATAAACATTTTACTAACTGTCAGCTGGTGAATTGAATTTATTGATAATTGAAATATATTATAGGTTACATAAAATTTCTTTGGGAGCTGCATGCGGCCTGTGGGTGACCAGTTTAAGACCACTGCAGTATATGATGTAGCAAAGTTGACTTAAAAGAAAAAAAGCACTCTTAGTGCCATAATTTTAACTAATGAGAATTTTCAAACATTTTGCAACTGTAATAGTTTGTAATGGAAATATAGTTGCTTACACATGATTTACAATAAAAAGTTTTCAAAGTGAATGGATCTCTGCAATGAAATTAATTTTCCATGTACTCTAATCCAGAAGGTGTGCATTGTTAGAAGCTCCTAGGCTTTGCAAATATCGTATGAAGTTGGGCGATAATCCAGAATGGCATTACATTTCTCATTTGTGCCGAAATAGGGTATGTGTTTCCCATTTCTAGTGAAGTTACTTTTTTAAGTATTAGCAATGCAGAGTAGTATTATATGTCAGTTATATCAAATAAAAAAGAACATTTTATGGGAAAAAAATATATGTTGATTTTTTTGTTTGAATTTTTACCTTTTAGATAGCAGCTGTGTGCGATTTCTTTTGTTATATCAGGTACATCCAGCAAGGACTTGTAAAGAGTGGGAGTAAGTTAAAATTTTTAATTGCTTTATCTGTTAAGTGATATGCTCAAACTGTATTATAGTGAATCCAGCTCGTAAAAAACTCAGATTTTGCAAATGATAATTTTAATCCTGTTTACTTTCCGATAAATATGTTTTTAATATACTTATATCACATCTCTAAATGTAAGACAGTTGGATATAATTGAATGCATATTTATTTTCTATTTTTCATATTTTTATATAAAAATTGTGCGAACTTCAACTGCAAAACTGCAAACTCTTAAGAACATCTGTATTTGGACTATTAGAAAAGTGCTAAAATCTATTATATTATTAAGTTTTATTTTTTTAATCTTTTTCCTCCACTTATTTATTATTTTAAACAAAATCTGTGTAAAATCCATTGCCCAGAACACACAGTAAGCAATTCTTGGGGAGTAGGAATGTATTCCCATTGGATGCCAAGAAGTCTAAGTTGGTGATGAAATGATGTTCCTTTTCAACATTTTAAATGAGCATAACTTCATACTTTTTTATCTTTCTCTTCAGAGCCAGATTTAAATGAGCATAACTTCATACTTTTTTATCTTTCTCTTCAGAGCCAGATTTAGACTTAATAAGGCCCTAAGCTATTTGAGATATGGGCTCCTTTATAAGTCTGTTATAATATATTTTAATAGTCTGTTGTAATATATTTTAATACTATTTATATTATATTTTAATTTTGGGGAGGGGGCCCTAAGCTATAGCTTGTGCAGCTTACACGTAAATCTGCCCCTGCTTCTCTTAAGTGTATTACTGAAATTTTATGTCCAGAATACATCCATATAACCAGTATTGGCTGAACATAAAGTAAGCTAAACAACTCTTGATTGACAGCTGCTGTGAAAGGTGTCAAAAACTTAAAATTGATTATTTTCATGCTCCCAAATGCAATTTTTATGCATGTTGTGGAATTAAGTATGATCAAAAGATTAGAGTATCATTACATAGCCAGTAGAATCATTTAACATACTTTGGGAAGTTTGGATAAAGATGTTTCCCATTTTGATGCAAAGTTTATTGCTACACAAATCTTTACATTTTTATTTCAGAATCTACCATTCAACATTGTTTTATCAGATTGACCAAGCAAAGGGTATAGGGAAAACATTGGCCAAGCAGTTGTTCATTCAGTTGTTTACTGGACTGCTGACCATTGAAAATTAGCACTGTTGCGACTTGGAAAAATGAGGTCGATAATTCTGTGCAGTTTTTAAATGTAATGTTTCTCTTGCATACTGGACGTTTGTTGAGAGAAGGCAATGGGAAGTTGGTTAATTTATTTATTAGGATAATTAATATTTGTATTAAAGGATATTGCTTATTTCATTGTAATTTTGTTATATATAATACTTTTTTTTTTTAAATTTGTGTGTGTGTGTTTTTTTCCGCTGATGAAGTTCTGCAGAGTAAAATTTTTGAGCAGTTTTTAAATTTAACATTTGGAGTTCCCTTCGGGCATTTTTCCGGTACATTTAACGAAGGCTGGCCGCATAGTTGCTAGTATATATATATATATTTGAGATATGTGTTTATTTTTTAGTGAGACATATTCTAATAATGTTTTTTCTTTTGTATTTTAGTACATGAAATATATTGGGAAGTGATAAGGAGACGTAGAGATGTGTCTTTAGCCAGACTTGGGATTTTGACCTTATGAATGAAGGTTGTGTATTTTTAACAAAACAGATATATGTAGAGCTGTTATTCTAATTATGATGGACAGTATTCTGCAGAGTGAACCAACAAAAAAATAAATAATTTAAAATCTCTTATTAAATTTACATTATCTTATTAAATATATAACAAGTGATACAAGGTTTAATTTAGTATTAATATTTTAAATAAAATAAATGTAAATAGCAGTATGGATGAAACAGAATGTTTTTATTTTAAGAAGATTTTTTTTAATATAGTTGACTATGCATATCTTTTTTAAATGCATATGATAATATCAAATTGCTTTTCGTACAATTGTTATTCTAGTCTATAAGTTCACGAACTATAATTAGTGAAGCATTATGCTTGCTATGCATTTAGTATTTAGTTATTCAAAACTGCATTAGTAAAATTCAACAGAAATATTTTTTTTTTTTATTATTGTTACGATTAAGAAATTGTATTTGTTTGGAGTATGTAAATTTAATCTTTCCTGAAAAATACAAATATGAGTTCAGTTTTAGATCTTATATTTCATCATTCCAATATCAAATTTTAAAATTACTTTCTTTATATAAATTTAAAAATATTTGCTGAACGCTTTCCTCAGTAATTATTTGCCAAATGTTCTGTACTGCTCATATAATGTGGTATATTTTGTTGTAGTCATTAAAGTAAAATTCAAAACTGATGTATATCATTAAAAAAAATTCTGGTGATGTGTTGGTTTATGAATATTTGTTAAATGCATTGCAGCTAAAGAAGCTATTTAAATTTCCCTTTTGTTTATAATTTATGTTGTATGTTACTGAGAGTGGAGTGCTATATTTTTATACAATATATGTTGTAATATATATTTAGCTTTTTGTTTTCTTTTAAATCTTCCTCTACCTTTAAAAAAAAAAAAAAAAAAAAAAAAAAAGTGATCAATAAGAAATGAGGTATTTGCTCTGTCATGCACTATGTGTTTAATAGAGCACTGTTTGGGGAATTTTAAAAATGTTATTCTTATTCCTTTATATATTTTCTTTATAACAATCTGAAGCTTAAATTTTATAAGTTCATGTTTGCATAAATTTTGATTGACTGCTAATTGGTATTACGAAAGTATGCCTCAGATCTTTCTGTAGTAGCATTTTACTTGTTTTTTAGGTAAAATGTAAAATTTTAAACTAAAAACATTGCTTTTAAGTGTAACCACATTAAGACCAATAACAGTGATTTAAAGAATGTAGAAATTAAAACAAGGCTTCACTGATTGCTAAATAGAAAAAAGTGTAACTGTAAACAAAAGGTTGTGAAACAAAAGTTTGTTTTTTTCTTTAGAACTTTCTAAAGAACTGTGAATTCTCAAACTGTATATAATACATCTAGATAGGCAGAAATTTCTCTTAAAGCTGTTAATTGAAAATTGTTTTCAAGGAAGCTTATAGACTTTTCTATACTTTTTAATGAAGCATACTTGGAATTTATTGATAGAATTGTAACTGCATTTATTTAAATAGTTGCCAGTCATAAACATGTAAACTACCAAGACATATTAAATAATATTTAAAATTGAATTAATTTGTCATAGTCTTATTAAAAGTTCAGCATTTGAGAATTATTTATTTTATACAGGTAGAGGAAGTTATGTGCTGGCCACATTAGAATTTTTGTATAGTATTGAATAATGCTATGCAGCCTAAAAAAGTTGTTTGTAATATTTTTATTTTCTGAAACAAATGTTAGACATGTAAACATTTGCTCTTATTTGCAAAATGTTTGACTAATACCTGCTCATAATTTTGACATGATTGCTGTGGATTACTTATAGTTAAATAGCTCAAAAGTATATTCCTGTAGGTGATTTGCGAAATACTATAAAAATGTTGAAGAATTGCTTTTAATCAATGTGGAAAATTAGACTAGAATTGTTTGTATGTCTAACAAAAGTTCAATTCATTATATAGAAGTAAGTTTGTTGTTTTAGGTATGCAGTTATAAATTATTGAAAGAATATTTATATAAAATTGTGATTGGTTGCACAAAATTGGAGGATGTGTAAATAAAGACCAATTTAGACAAATATTTTTAAATATATTAAAATTATTTTTAAAGGCTGTTTGATAAGTAGGGTAACCAAAATAGAAAATAAAAATTATCCTGCTATAATGGCTGGAGTTCTTTGATAATTTCTTCTTGTTTTACTTCATTATGCAAACAACTTCCCTGCTTCTTTCATGTTCATTCAACCACTTTTAAACCCTTTGGTCAGTGGTTTTAACTGAGAATTCAATCTAACTTGAGCTAAATTAACTATTCCATTAGCAGTTCCTCCCTTTCAAAAAGTAGAATTTTTTTACTATAGCTTAACAATGCCAAGTTCTCTTTGAAAAATGATTCAAGAAATCAGAGCTAATTAAAATGATAGAAGAAATGACTACTATTTCTATTTTGTGTACCTTACTTGTTGTAAAGCATTTATGTCATTTTAATTACTGTTTTTAGGTATTCTAAAGGCATTTTATTTATTTAGTGTTGTTTTTACATGTATTAAAATCATAGGGCTTACCTGAACTTAGATTTGTGATATCTTTTTTACTCTTTTTCATTTTTTGGAATATTTATAGGTATATCAAATCATTATATTTTGAAGAAATAAGTGTTCTTATAACACTACTAAACTAGTTGCAAAAATTTTAAAGAATCGAAAAATAATTTTATCATTTTTTAACACTGCACACTGCAGTTGTGAGTTAAAGTTTCATTCAGTCGATATAAGAAGGAAGAAAGCCTACCTCATTTTTTTTCCTCCCTGATTAAAAAATTTCTTGATTATCTTCAAAATACTAGAATGTCTGTGTTAAAGCAGCTTCAGGTAAGCAAGCTGAATACATTTTGTGTAATGAGCATTTTGTTGGATTCCATTCCATTCTGACTTGGTCATGATTCTGAATTATATTTTTCTCTCCCTGAATGATATATTTCTGGCTAGAGGCTAAAATGGCTGTAATATATATATGCATATATTAAGTAGTTTGGGGATTATCTGCTAGGAATACTGAATGGTTTCCGTAATTATTTGCCAAATATTCTGTCCTGCTTATAGTGTATTTTGTGTTGTAGTCATAAAAGTAAAATTCAAAACTAATATGTGTCATTAGAAAACTCTGGAGATGTGTTGGTGTAAATTGTAAATACATAAGTTATTAAATATTAATTTTTATGAAAAGATTCATTAAAATTCAAGAATTGTCTATTGAAAGGGGAAAAATCATAAAAAGTAATATTTGGGCAAAATTACAATGGGAGGTCCCGTTATAAAAGTGCAATAAAAATAAAAAGAAGAGCAATTATTGTTATTAAATGGAGAATTATTGACTTTTCAAGGGGAACAAATCAGTTTCCAATGAATTCACAATAATTAATAGGAGCAAATGTGTTTTATTATGCAAGAACTAATAATCAAAACCAAATCATGTCGAAAAATTTTTTTCAATGTTGAAAAAAATTATCATTGTGTAAATCAAAAATAAAACTTAAATAATAAAGATAAAATAATAAAAGTAATAAAGATTAAATTTTTATTGCATAAAAAGACCATTCCCAACACATTCACTGTTTCACATAATTAAAATAATTTCAAATAAAAGTTGGAAAAAGTCCAGAAACAAAAGAAATATAAAAAGGGGTATAACAAATAATAATAAACCTAAATTTTCTAATTTTACTAAAATGAATAAAAAAATCATCTTTATAAAAAGAGTCTTTTATTTTCTTGCAAACGTAATACATGAAAATGGCCAAAAATGAAGTAGATAATTCAAAAATGCTTAATAAATACATTCATATTTACTTAGCTGCTTTTGTGCAAATTTTAGGCATTTTAAGTCTAAAAGTAACATTTTCATTAATTTTATGTACATATATATAAAGTAAGAAATTTAGAACTAATTTTTCACGAAGCCCAAAAATTGAAATTCATAAGTAATAAATTTAAAATAATCCTACAAATGCAAAAAAGAATTTTAAAAATGTTAAAACCAAAACTCTTCAAGCAAGCAATACCCCAATTCAAAAAATCAATGAAACTTATGCCTTTACTGATAATTTTTCAGCAGCTTAATGCACAAAATTCTAGGCATGATTATGTATATATATATATATATATGCATAATCATGCCTAGAATTTTGTGTTAATTATATATATATATATATATATATTTAAGATTTTGTAATTACGTATATTCCAAATTTTCCTATTTATGTTTATTTCTGAAGCAAAGATAGGTTAGTGTTTTTTTAAATTAAAATATGCTATTCATACTTGTTTTATTAATAGGACTAGCAAGCAGATAGTTTTTTGCATGATTAGATCAAAACAGAAAATGAAACACTTCAAGTACTGGCTACGTTTGGTTTTGTTTAAAATGGCTCCACTAGCCAGAAGGTTAAAACAACTGACTGCTGATGGTTTAAATACTGGCAGATGAATTGGCTGACTGGGCATTTTTTAGTTTTCTCTACATGCAACATGAATGCAAGCTAATTTGTCTGAAAAAGTCCTCCACAGAGGCATGTTTCCCATTAGGAAGATAACTCTTATACATGTTACTTTATAATCTTCTAAATTTAACCTGCAGAGATCATGAAATATGCATGCGTTGGTGTTGTTAGCTAGAAGCTAGATAATTTTTTTGAAGAAGCTGATTTGTCATGTTTTCAGCAAATGCTGTAGAATTGTATCAAGTTACGAAGTCAAAGGAAGTTCGGTGTCAGATTTGTTAAAAAGTTAATTATTATCAAAATTGTTTCTTTGATGTAAATTAAAGTGTGTTCATTGCAAAAAATTCTCCAAAGATAATGTAAGCTTTCACATCAAACATTTGCTGTTTACTAGCCAGAAGATTGCATTTTAGAAGAAAAGGACTCAGGGCATGTAATTGAATCAGTTTTAGTGTTTATGTTTCTCTGATGTCTAGTTTTTATTCCTTCCATTAATCCATCCAGCCATAATGTCATTTTATTAGGATAGTAAAATATCATCAAAGCTGCATTTTATAATTGGAGGCAATATATTTAATTTTCTGTTACATTTTCTTTATTTCCTGTCAATCTAATAGTAAGAAAAAAAAGAGAAGGGTGGGCAAATTTTGATTTATAAGTCTTTGCTATATGAATGGCACATTCTTAGTATTTATGAACTAAACTAAATATCTTTTCTCCAAATAACTGAGTCTTTGAATGTATTTCAATATCATAACAATATTTTTGATTAATTTTATCTTGTAAAGAAATACCACTTTCCAAAATCAAAATCAGTTATTGAGTTTCATTAACTTTAGTCTTTCAGATATAATTGGCATCATGTATAAATTTCTGTTTTTGCCATTTATTAACAACTTATTTAATGCTAGTGTTATAATTCTAGTAATTAATAATACTAATAAAAAATACTTCTACAACAGCAAAACAAACTTTGAATTTATAAGGAGTTGAATTTTAAAAGCAAAATTTAAATGAAGCAAGATTACTTACTAGAAATTTGAAGTATATGTAAACTATATAAAAGAAATTATTTTTAGATTTTCCTGAAGATTAATTTTTGCATTAAGAAATCTTTCATATGTATGCTCTTTTTGGGCTGTAAATCTTATATGATTTAAACTGAGCAACAAACATTTTAATAATAATTTAATTAAATATATTATCAGCTATCAGACTTGCATAGATCCTGCAGAAAGATTTCTGTTAATTTAATATTGTTTAGTGACATCCAAAGTATCACATAGAAAAGTGCCATACAGGCCAGAAAAGTAAATTTTTTGTAGTAAGTTTGATTTTTTTATTGTTTGTTACAAATTTTCTATTTATTGCTTGTTTACAAAACTGTGTAAAATTATTTGCACATTATTCTTATTGTTTGGATTGAGTTATTTAAGAAAACAAAAAAATTATTTGTATGTATCTTTAAGCATTCCATGTGTACTCTGTGTTTTTTTTACCAAAATTTAAGTATTTTTTTGCCATATTAATATCCTCTAAAGTAATTTCTATGGAGATAAATATCTGTGCATCATGATTAAATATTACCTTAGGACAGATGTCATTTTATGGCATATAAATTACAAAGTTAATATGGTTTTCTTTTAAAACTATGCAAGCTTTAAAAATGTCAAAATGTCATAATGGTTATTTCCAGTGTGGTTTCTGTGAAAATACTATTGTATAAATGTAAATAAAATATTTTAAAGTGATACTGTTTTGTTAAACCTACAGAATAGCTCAAGCTTTTATATGAGTTATATGAAGAGTTAAGACACTCTTCCCATGCATTCATGTGTAACTGTCAGCACATTGAACCAGTTATTTGGAGATTCCTTGCTCAATTCTGGGAAAGAGCTTGGTGAATTTTTTAAGGTCTCCTTCTTCCAAATTTCATGTGTTCTCCATTCATGATGAAGGACACTTCATTTGACTAGGAATTGTCTTATGACCCATGTATCAATTTTTAAGTTGGAAGGGAGTCTTAAGAAATTGAGATTTTAAAATAAATAATCCCTTAACATTAAAAATAAATTAAACTTCTCTGCATTTTTATGCTAATGAAGATGTTTTATGAACAGTTTTGTAAGTTTTAACAAACTGTACCCTTCGCATTGTTTGTATCATGCAAGCTTTTAATATAAATTTTGAATTAACTATTATCTTATGAGGCATTTATAGTTAGATAATGAAAATTCTAATTCATTTCTTCTTCATGAATCTCAAAACCCTTTTTTTTTTTTTTTTTATTGTAAATGTTATTCTGGCTGAAACTGTATGCATACTTAAGAGTCATAGTTATACTTAATTAATATGTAATTATATGTAATTAATAGAGGAAAAGTTGATAAAACTGTTCTAGATGACTCGAATTTTTATGGTTTTTCCCAATATATAACATTTGTATGAGGCAGTTTGCCTGAGAAAATACTCCATAAAGGCATCACACCTCATATGCTTATTGCACCTCATATGTTACCCATTGTTATGCTTTGCTTTAATCAAATTTATCAGCTATAGCAATAATAGTGCTTGATTGTAATTAACTTGATTTATTTCATTATAATAAATATAAAAGCCTTATATAGAGATATAATTATTTTCTCTCCTAAAGTTGCTTTATGTTCTGTCATTTCCAGTATTTTAAACCATAGTTTGTATCATCAATTTTTAAGAGATGTATAAAGAGGTAATAAAAAATAATACTTAATAGTTTTAAATGTCTATTTTGATGTCATATCTGAAATGTATTTAAATTAATTTTTGGCTTTGGGGGAAATAACTTTAGTTAAATTAACATATACACCTGAGGTTTTATCTAAGTAAAAATGCTTTAGTATGCATGCTTTCCTTAGCTGGTAAACAGCTTGTGTAGTTTTTGTTGTATGTGATAGTAATCTGAGCTTTAAGAACATATGCATTCTTGTTTTACATGGGTACCAAATAATTTACTTTAAATTTCAGAAGTTCTAAAGTAATATGTATTTTATAAGCCAAAAGGCCCTGTATTTTTTAACAAAACACAGTAATAGGTAATAATCTATTAGAATTTCAAATTAAATATTTTATAAAGTAATGGGTGTTCATCTAAATCACCATACCCTATTTCTGTATCCATCTATCATCATTTTGGCTAGATATGTCAGAAAAGCCATTAACATAAAAGAGCAGTAATCTTTTATTTAGTGAATATTCCTAAAATTATACTGGCATTATGATGATTATTAAGTGTAGCATTAGTTTTTAGTTTTAATATATATTTTTGATTATATACTAACTGAAAATAATTCAAGCTATGCCCCCCCCCCGCCAAAAGTACACTCAATTTATTAACATTTTTCTTGTTTTGAAGAATAATTTTTTTGATAAGAGTTAAAAATAAAACCCTAAAGTTATGAACTTCTTCACAACTGCAATCATTAAACTAAAATGCTAATTCAAATTGCTAAATATTTGTAAAAGTTCTGAATTAGTTTTTAGTTTTAATGTATAATTTTTATTATATACTAACAGAAAATAATTCAAGCTGTTCGTCCCTCCCCCCCCCCAAAAAAATACATTCAATTTTTTATAATTTTCTCATCTTGAAGAATAGTTTTTTTTTTTTTTTTTAAATAAGAATTAGAAATAAAAAGTTGAAGTTGTGACGTTTTTTATAACAGCAACCATTAAACTAAAATACTCATTAAAATTGCTAAATATTTGTAAAAGTTACAGAATTCCTAATTTGGCGAGGTAACATATTCATAATATGTTAGTCATGACTCAGCCATATATTGAAAGTATGCATGTTTCTTGCTTATTATTTATAATATGTTTATTTAATATTTGGTTAGTATGAATATATTTAGTTAATATTTGATGTGTTGAAATAGAGAGTTTAAGATATTGCATCGTTTTAATCTGTTATTAGCATTTTATAATAGTTATAATTACATTTTTGTCAGTGCTGAAATTTTTATAGTTAATGGATTTTTTTACAAAGCTTAAACATTCATGTATCTGATGTTGAGGTCAGAAATAGAAATTTTATTATGACATAGCATTATGAGGTTAAGTTTAATTTGTCTTAGTGAAAACACTGGTCTAATCTTCTTAGACTGACAGATAAATGACCATCCTATCTTTTTCCTTCAATTCTAGAGTAATTATAACAGTGCAAAATAATTAAAATATTTATTTGAACTTCAGCTTGAAGTTGACTAAAACAATAACAAAATTAACTTTCCTTTCTTCTCAGTGGACAGACAAAAATTATTCAAAATATTTACAAGATAAAAGTTTTAATCTGAAGCTTAATATCTGGCACTGCTACCTGTCATTACTATCTTAATTTTCAATGAAAAACACTTATTTGTTTATAGCAATAATGCTAAAATCTGACAGTAATGGTTCACCAGGCAGGCTGATGTTCTGCCTGGCAGGCCAGTCCTTCCTCCTAACTGAGACTGTCTTTTCTGTTTATTTTTTTAA